ATGAATGTATTTTGAAGCCATGCATAATTTGGATTATGTATAAACGTATCTTTTAGAAAAAAAAAACCATTATAAAATACACTATTATTGGATTGAGTATTTTATATATGCCTAATTAAAAAAACCAACAAAAAATGGCATGCTCAATAAGTCATATGGAATATAATATCTTCAAAAAAAAAAAAACCAAGTAAATTCCGTTACCTTACAAAAATGCTTTAAAACCAAGAAATAAGATTTAAGATTTATAATCTAGTACAAACACATATATAATACAAAAATGTGACTAAACACCATCGAGAGCTTATACAGTTACTTGGTTCCACGTTCTTGGAGAGCTTGACAATATGAAAAATGTCATCTTTCTGATCTGCAGGCGAAAACGATTGTTCTTGACTTTTGCTGTCATTTCACAATCAGCCGTCCTTTCATTCTTTTTCCGGCAAAACATCTAAATCTCTCATTTGATTAAAATCCACAAGAATCCGTCAAAAAAACAGATCTTTATTCCGACATATAATTTTTTCATCTTCCATTCAAAACCCAAGTTTCGATTTGTTTTGTTTCCCTCGAAGTCTCGCTCCGGCGATATCGAAATGACCCGTGACGACAAATCCCCGATCGTATACTCTCTCTTATTATTCTTACTTGTCGTCTTCTTCGCCGGAACTATCTCCGGCGAAGGTGACGCAGATGCTCTGTTGAAGTTCAAGTCAACTCTCGTTAACGCCACCGTGCTCGGGGGATGGGATTCCGGCGAACCTCCTTGCTCCGGTGAAAAAGGAAGCGACTCGAAATGGAAAGGAGTGATGTGTGCAAACGGCTCTGTTTTCGCTCTTCGGCTAGAAAACATGAGTCTTACCGGCTCGCTTGACTTGCAAGCTCTAGGTTCGATAAGTGGTCTCAAGAGCATCAGTTTCATGCGTAATGGTTTCGAAGGGCCCGTGCCACGTGGACTCGACGGGCTTGTCTCGCTTGTGCATCTTTACTTGGCGCATAACAAGTTTTCCGGGGAGATTGACGGTCGTTTGTTTGAGAAAATGAAGCCTCTTTTGAAGGTTCATCTTGAAGGAAACAAATTTTCCGGTGAGATTCCCAAGTCGTTTGGGAGATTACCGAAGCTAACTGAGCTGAATCTTGAGGATAATATGTTCACCGGAAAATTACCGGCGTTTGAACAGAAGAATCTTGTTACCGTTAACGTTGCTAATAATCTATTAGAAGGTCCAATTCCGTATACTCTCGGCCTCATGAACGCAACCTTCTTCTTAGGTAA